AATAAGACAACAAAAATGCATGAAAAATTTAGCAAGTATTGGGATGTGATTCATGGTGTCTTGGAGGTAGCAATTGTTTTAGATCCTAGATACAAAATGAAATCGTTAGGTTATTTTTTTCCTCGGATCTATGGAGTTGATGGTAAAGATCATATTATGAGAATTCAAGGATTTTTATCAGATTTATTTATTCAGTACCAATCTAAGCTAGGAAGTAGTCAACCTCCTTCCAATGCACCTTCTTTTCAAAATGATATTCTTTATGGTGAGGAGGACGTGTCCGTTAGTGACTTTGAGATGTATATTGAACAAGAATCAAATGTTATCGAAGGAAAGTCAGAACTAGATTGTTCCTTAGATGAGAAACTTTTGCCTAGGACTCCTAACTTTGATATATTGGTTTGGTGGAAGGCAAATGGCCTAAATATCCAATCCTCTCCACTGTTGCTCGAGACATCCTTGCTATTCCTATCTCCATAGTCGCTTATGAGTCTATATTTAGCATTGGTAGGAAGGTAGTAAGCCCACATCACAACAGACTTTATTCAGATACATTAGAGGCATTGTTGTGTGCTTAGAATTGGTTATGAGCAGATATAAAAGGTGATTATATCAGAATTTTATTTCTTCAACATAGTTGTCTTATTGTCTTTAATGTATATTTTGCATTCTTATTAGGTCAACAATCATGCTCGACATTTTTGATGACACTGATGAGGAAGAAGAAGAATTATGATGACGAAGAATAGGTATGCAATTGGTTAAATATTTAGTCTTTGATGTGTTGCATGCTTCTTATGTATTTTATAATTGTAGAGAGGTGGACTTAGCTGACTGGAGTTTGCAAAACTTAAGGAGACAATAGCTTAGAAATTTGTGATAGAGTTTACTGTTATTGTATTTGTTCAGATTTTACTGTCTTAATTTGATTGTTGCTCTTATAGTTATGTTATACTCTAAAAATTACGTGGATGGATGGATGCACTTCATGGAATGTTATTTATATATTTGGTGAGTATTCAAAAATAAATTAATATTTAAAAACTGTTTCTAGAATTAAAATTATAAAACAAAATTGAAATTTATGAATATTTAAAAATTCACATTATAAAAATGGGCAGGCTTCGGCCGGGACTGAAATTACAAAAAGTCCATCGGGTTAGGCTTAGGCTTTACCTATCATCTCCTTGATGGGCCTAGGTCGGGCTTGGGCCTTTCTCATGGGGTTGGGCTTCGCCTCGGACCAAGGAGTACTCGGTCTCGGCCCGACCTGGCCCATTGCCATCACCATTAGAGATCGATGTCCTTCCACACGGTATTCTACAAATAAGTATGTATTATTGACTAACGAGGGAAAGCCTCAATGTTATGCATAAGCAATGGAAGATGAAAACAAGGCAAATTAGGTTGATGCTATGGAAGATGAGATGCAGTCATTGCATGACAATCACACCATTGAGTTGGCAAAGTTGCCTAAGGGTAAGAGAGCTTTGAAAAACAAGTGGGTCTACAAGGTGAAGCAAGAAGAACATACTTCACAGCCACGGTACAAAGCTAGATTAGTTATCAAGGGATTCAGTCAGAGAAAAGGTGTTAACTTTGATGAGATTTTCTCTCCTGTTATGAAATTATCTTCTATATGTGTGGTTTTAGGCTTAGCGACTAGCCTAGACTTAGAGGTTGAGCATATGGATGTGAAAACTGCATTCCTTCATGGTGATTTGGATGAAGAGATTTACATGGAACAACTAAATTATCTCCAAGTTAAATGAAAAGAAGATTACGTCTATCGTTTAAAGAAAAGCCTCTATGGTTTTAAGCAAGCACTCAGACAATGGTATAAGAAGTTTGAGTCAATTATGGGGGAGCATGGTTACAAGAAGACTACTTTAGATCATTGTGTATTTGTGTAGAAATTCTTTGATGATGATTTTATTATTTTATTGCTCAAATTTGATGACATGTTGATAGTTGGCAAGAATTTTTCTAGGATTGATGATTCGAAGAAGCAATTGAGTAAGTCATTTGCTGTGAAGGATTTAGGGTCAGCAAAGGAAATTCTTGGCATTCGAATTTGTCGAGACAGAAAAGAGAAGAAATTGTATATGTCACAGGAGTAGTATATGGAAAAAGTGCTTGAAAGGTTCAACATGGATAAGGCCAAAGCGGTGAGTTCTCCTCCAGCTACTCATTTCAAGCTAAGTACAAAGCAAGGTCCATCTACAGATATTCAAAAGGAGGAAATAGAAAGAGTCCCTTATGCTTCAGCTATAGGAAGCTTAATGTATGCAATGGTGTGTATGAGACCAGATATAGCTTATGCAGTTAGGGCCATTAACAGATTTTTGTCAAATCTGGGGAAAGAGCATTAGGATGTAGTGAAGTGGATTATGGGTATCTACAAGGCACTTTCAAGTTAAAACTTTGTTTTGGAAGTGATAAGCCAATTTTGGTTGGGTCTATAGATGCTAGCATGGCTGGAGACATGGTTTCAAGGAAGTCTACTTTTGGTAATCTAATTACTTTTGCTGGTGGAGCTATTTCTTGGCTATCGAGATTGCAAAAGTGTGTTGCACTTTCTATGACAGAAGTAGAATTTATTGATATAACAGAATCTCACAAGTAGTTGTTATGGATGAAGAAGTTCATGAGAGAGCTTGGTTTTAAACAACAAAGGTATGTTTTGTCTTGTGACAACCAAAGTGCTATTCATCTTGTTAAGAATTCTACATTTCATTAAAGATCTAAACATATTCATGTAAGGTATCATTGGATAAGGGATACTCTTCACAATGACCTATTTGAACTTGAGAAGATCCATACAGATGAGTGATGACAATGGTTTAATATGTTGATAGAGGCTTTAGCAAGGGAGAAGCTTCAAATATGTCGAGTTATTGCTGGTATGGTCTATCTCCCCACATAGTCGGGAAAGAGGGAGATTTGTTGGGCTTGGTTTTCCCTCATGTGAAGGATGACCCAAAATCCTAAATGCCAAAAATAAAAGAAAGAAAGAAAGAAAAAAAAAAAAAAGGTAGCAACTTTGTTCCTTTTTTTTTTTTTTTTCCCGAATGGGTGAATAGTGGAAAAATGTGGGTATCGTTCACAACAACAAAAATCTATAGAAGTGAGAGAGAGACAGTCACACCAGGTTATTTCGACGCGATCCAACGGTGAATCTTGCTCTGTTTTTGCTCAAATTTTAGAGCGCTATTGTTGACGGCAGGATCTTCATATCCAACAGTTAGTTTCGTGATAGCCATCTTTTTTATGGACTTTTGCCTCTAGAAAAACAGTCAAATCAAAGAGTTGAGTTGCACAATTTTCAGTTCATCTGTCCTTATTCAACCTAACAATCGGAAGGTCATCTCTAGTCTGATCAATCTGATTTTTGGTTAGAATGCAGAGGACGTTCGGCTTTTCAATCTAGATGGTTCGTTTTCAATTTTAACGGCTGAGTTTGGAGTTGTACAACCTATATTTCAGGTGTTTTGTTGGTGATTTTACTCCTATCTTTTCGTAACTCTTTTATGTATTTTACTTTGTTAGAATTGTGATAAAACTCTAAATTTAGTGTGGAATCACTACAAGAAAACTGACTTTCTGCGTCTAGCAAAATTAGACGCAGAAAGTCACATTTAGACGCTAAACATTTTTAGCGTCTAAATTCGGTAGTCGCCCCCTTAGTTGCAGTAGGCTGGTCGCAGATTCATAGCGCGTCTATATTGTGGTTTAGATGCAAAAAGTTTTTTTTTTGCGACTATCAAAATAGTCGGCAAATGTTGTTCAAAATAGTCCCCCAACTTAGACGCTAAAAGTTGAAGAGTAATATGGTAAAATTATATAGCGACTAATCAATTAGTTGCAAAATGTCTGTTTTAGTGTCTAATAATTTGTCGCGAATCCCACGCAAATTATTCGCCAAAGGTGTAAGGGTAATTTCGTCAAAGGTTTTGCAACTATTTTATTAGTCGAAGAATTTATCTTTTTGTGACCAAAATTTAGTGGCTACTTGTAACTCTTTTAGACACTGAATGTAGAATCCAAATGGTTTTCGCAACTATTTTATTAGTGGCCTAATGTATCTTTTGGTGACCAAAATTTAGTAGTTAATTATAGTCATTTTAGACGCTGAATGTGGAATCCAATAGGTTTTTGTGACTATTTTATTAGTGGCCGAATTTATCTTTTAGTGACAAAAATTTAGTGGTTAATTGTAATCATTTTAGACGCTGAATTTGTGAAATCCGAAATGTTATCGCGACTATTTTTTAGATGCTGAATATAGAAACAATTATACTAATTACTTTTGCTACTAAAACATTGTTGCAGAATGTGTTTTTTTAGAGCATTTCATATTGACCTCCAGCGAAATGCAACTATGCTAAATGACTTTTTGCTACTAAAATATTAGTTGCAGAATGTTTTTTTTTTTTAGAGCATTTCGTATTGACCTACATTATACATTCAACATGAATAAATAATGGACACAATATTAAATTTGATCACTAAATCAAAATCATTTTTCATACATATATATGTAGTCAATACATGGATTTTATGCATGATGAGCAATAAAAATCCAAATGCACTATCACATGTGCAAACCCAAAAGAACAACATGCACCCACATTTTCCTTTTTCTACCTATCTATCTGTGCATAACTAACAAAAAAATGCCCACCCCATGTACACCATCTACACCATATATCAAACAATCCTAAAAAGATGTTCTACCCCCTGTCAAAATATCTATTGTCCATACAACACAAAAATACCATCAATACCTTAGCACGTCAAGTGTCACCAGTTCCGGTATTTGAAATAGCTGTAGTTGATGAGGACGAGTTCTTCGTCAGTTTGAGAAGGCAAGTGCTGTCGAGTTGGAGCTTTATCAGATTCTCTAGTTCAAGGGCTATGTTAGCTGCTTCATCATCTCTAACAGACCAATTGTTGGTGTTCAAGGCTTTTATTTTCTCTTTTTGTTGATCAAATAAGTTAGCTGGTCCTCCAACTGTTTAATCTTCTATCCATTGTGACCTTCTAGTTCACAAACAAACATAAATTCAGTATCATAAATATGTTCTATCACAAAGACAATACTCAACCCAATTAAACCACATTCATCCATGCAAGAATATAGTACTAGTGAAATGTAAATGGGTCTAACGATCAATAAATTAATTAAATATCAATTTACGTAACTTACACCTTTTGTTTATGGTTGTAGTAGCTGTGGTGCCCGTAGTCTTCTTAGCCTCGGTGTTCAAGTCAACTTAAGATCCTCAAAAACCTTTTACAACAAAAAATATTAGGTTTTAATTTTATAATTTATCAGAATATGTCATTTTTTTATATGAAAAGAAATACCACACTCTAAATTATTAATGTAGGAGGTCCTCTTTGGTACCTAATTAAATACATATAAAAAACGTCAACTCTCCGTAGAAGTCAATGGAGACAAAGATGGCTATGAGGCAAGCAATAAAAAAGAAAAAGAATATGCAACTGGCTAATTAATTAAAGAGATTAGGTAAGAATTACAAGGAGTTAACAAGTAACACCATGATTTAGACATTATAAAGTCTTAAATGAATGAGTCAGACTTTAGAACGGCAGGAAAAGCGCTTTACAACTTTATTATTTTTTCGTTGAGCATGCCTTCACTCACAATCTTATAGATATTAAAAATTAATTATATATTCATAACCAAACTTTGTTTCTTCACTTTTATAAGAAAATTATAAAAATTAAGAATTGTTGTAACTGATGATTCATCAAATTCACCTACTAATTAAAGCCTTCTATTATTTTTACTTGCCCAAGCACTTAACAATTTTTACTTGCCCAAAAGCACTTAATAAATGTATATGTGTAGTTCTCAGCTCGGAACAATATTTAATTTTAGAAGAAATTAAAGGTATTAGATATAGCTAACTTATACCAGACTTACTTCAAAGTTAACTAAGCAAAAAGCTACATCTCGAAGATGAAATGTAGCACTAAGGCTGCATCAATTGAATGGTGCATTTAATAGTAAGGGTATCCAAACCAATTATTTCACTTTATGGATCTCTTACAAGAAACAGATGGGATGAAGAGCAAAAGACAACCCCTTTGAATGTTCTTTAAGTTATAAAATGAAGCTTCCGTTTATCATAATCTAGACACAACATGCAAAAGTCTACAACAAGTAATTTAGTTCACTTGTTTGATCTTACTTTACTCCAATTTCACTCTAACATATTTATTAAATTCTTCTATCTGCAAAGAGGAGGTCATTCAGTACCTGAAACAAAGCGAAGTGAATGAGATGAAGCACTAAATGAGGCCGACCAAACCAAAAGTATTTGTCGAGCCCTGTACAAGTGGCATCCCTTGCACCACCGCATGTCTTTCGGTAATTTCAAGAGCCATCTGTGTCAAAATGGTTGAAGCTCCATTCCAATAGCTAAGATTATCTGCAACCAATTAATAGTATTCAGAATTTCAACTCTTCCAGTAAGTCAAGATGATAGGTTGCAGAGAATAAATTTCTACAATCACAGGGATTAAGGATGCCCAATAACTTGCCATCCTGAAAAGGAAAAATAAATATGTTAATGACTATATCAACTTCTAGTTCAATTTAAAGTGCAGAATCATTTAGTTCAAAAGGCATTATCGAGGAGAAGATAACTCACCATTACGTTTACAAGCAAGAAAAGCACAAATGATTCCCACAAGACAGGACTGCCAATAACAAAAAAAAAAGGGAAAAAAAAATGTCAGGACAGAACATAGACTATATGTAATTGATTAGGCAAGAGTGGTACAAGAAAACTGCAGAACATAGCATGATAAGAAACACATTAAATAAAAAGAGTATTACCTTACTCCCACCACTATCTTGAAGTCATCCTCTAATGATCGTTTAATATATTTTTGGAAGTTAAATTTGCTTCCAGGAGCTAATGAACCTATCATTAATACAGAATTTTAGGGTAGAGCCACAGACTCAACTTTCCTAACTTTAGGAACTGTGAATTGTTTAACTGAAAACTCTCATTGATAATCCGTTACGCAGCCTGCGTCATCTTCTCTATTGGAATGGAAAGGCTTCTTCTTTCTCTTAGGTAGTACAGGTGGAAGATCCACATTTTGGGATTTCTTGTTTCTTTACAGTTTGATAATGTCCAGATCTCGGGCTAGAAGCATAACACTTAATTTTGAACCCCAATAATTAAAATTCAGCATTAAAATTTGTTAGAACATCAAACTAACCCGGCACGGCCACTTAAATAAGTACTCATGTTTCCACTTTTAACTCATTCTTTGACTCATTTCCTCAAGCACATGGTGAGTCAATGCAAAATAAAAATACTGTAATTAACAGCATCCCCATCTCACGCAATTCATGAAACTCACATGAAAACCTTGATTAATCAATAAAATTGGCATTATAAGCTAATGCTATCAATCAAATTGAACTCAAGTGAACATAGATCTATTCCACAATCCCAAATTCTGTAACTTCTAGATCCATGCTTCTTTCATCTTTATACACTAGTCCCCAACAAGTACAACACCCAAAACTGAAATTAGCTATAATCCACAACCATATCAACGCAATCAATAATTAAGTTTAATTCAACGATAATATATCACTCTAAAACGCAGTTGAATTACCTTAGAAACAACATGAATGTTGTCAAGCAACAGTTCAAAAGCCTCCCTAGCCGCAGCAGCCTCCATCTTTCTTAAACCACTCTGCAACGCCAAATGAACCTTCAATAGTGACTCTAAAACCCTCGTTCCTCCCTCAACTCCAACAATGGGGCCTGCATCCGTACGATGGCCGCGTCGACATCGACGAGCTTGGTGTTCAAGTTAACGAAATCACACAGTCCCGTTAATTAATCAATAAGTTCATGCTTGAGGGAAGATAAATGAGATGTTAGATAGATCGAGTGTCTCGAAGGGAACAAAATTTCGGAGCTCCGAGATATAGAGTCGAGCAAAGGTTGGGAGAGAAGAGATTGGATTTAACCAAAGAGGATGAGCATCAACTGGATCGAAGAAGAGTTAGTGGCGGATCTAGGCGGTGGAGCAGTTGCGATTGATCCACATTTCTGATTGTGATTGTGTTTCTTTGATAACAAGTTTTTCCTCCTATTAATCAAGACTTCGTATTTGCATTGGAAGAAGATTTTAGAGTGCACTGAACTGCAATGTTAAGAAAAACGAACACTTCTGACATCGTCGTTTAATAAAGAACATTGTTGTAAGCGGTTTAGAGTCAGAACCGGCCGTGAAAAGATTGAGAACAGATGAGGTTCGATGACGACAGTTGAACTGACAAGGACAACGGGAGAAGTCCAGATTTTAGGGAAAAAATGGAGAAGAAGATGCGGACGGAGTGATCAATTATGGTTTAGGGTAAAATTAGTTTGGGGCTTTTGGATAATTGGGTATATGTAAACATCCTACATGAATGAAAAGTGACAAGGTAGACCCTAAATAATATCATTTGACCCCTAAACAAAAAAAATGAGACAAAATCAACCTGCTGTATATACTTTGGGCCTTGTAATTACTGTCCAAATATGGATATTTTGAATATAATTCTATTATGGAAATAAGTCGATTTGCAACTAAGATTTAGTCAGTAAAGAATTATTGTTAGTTGCCATAATTGAGGTCCGATGAACAAATAATTTTGGGGATATGAATTTTTTAAGTTAAATTAGCAACTAAATCAAATTTAGTTGCTGTATATACTTTGGGGCCCTTGTAATTACTGTCCAAATATGGATATTTTGGTAATTTCATTTTTCTATACTATCATAATAGTTACTAATAATCCCTAATTATTCGCAACTAATTTAGCAACTAAATTAGTATTGCAAAAATTGTTTTTTAACAAAAAAGTAGATGCAAAAAGCCATATTTTAGATGCAAATTATCAAATTTTGGAGGGAAAAATCACCCCGAAAAATTGCAACTAAATTTATTAGTCACTAAAGCAACCGGTTATGTGACTCACAAATAGTCGCAAAAAAATAACTTAGATGCCAATGTTGGAACATGTGGGCCCCAAAATTTTAATTCTCTTGCTCGACTAATGTCAATTTAGTTGGTACTGTAGCCTTTTTGCAACTAATTCTGGTTAGTTGCTAAAAAATTGGTTGCAAAATGTCAATTTTCTTGTAGTGAATATATTGGTGATTTGTAGTTGCTGTAAACACTCTTTTATTATAGGATTTAAGTGATCATTCGATCCTATGATTATTTTTAATCTCTTCACATTGAACAGGTTTTTCACGTAAAATTGTTGTGTCTCTTGTGGATTGATTGTTGTTTTCAGGCATATTACTCAAGGTTTGCTATTGATTCAAGTAGGAAATATTTTGTTAGTGCATTATTTCCTTTCAGAAGAGTTAAGAGTCCGGAGAGGATATTACATAATAATTCTCAAGTAGAAAAAAGTTAATTGGACTATTTTAAATTTTTAAAAATAATATAGTTTAGAAGTTAAGTGTGGGAGGAGAATACGACGGCTCCGTTTGGTTCAAAATTTGGGGTTTTGGGAAAAGTTTTTTAAAAAAGTTAAAAAAAGTTGAATTGGGTGGGTATTACGATGTAGGATTATAATTAATAAAATACCCTATATGTTTTTTTTTACAAAATACCCCCTATAATAAAACATTAAAAGTTACAAAAATACCCCTAACCCACCCTCAAACACCTCTAGTCGGCCACCACCACCGGAGTGGGCCGAGTCACCTTATGCGCCATGACCGGCTGGATCTTGCGGTCATGCGTCGATATGGCCTTTTCCGGCCAGATCCATGGGGATCTGGCCGACAAAGGCCAGATCTACGGCAATCTGCGTCAACACCAGATCTGGCCGTCAACAGCCAGATCTGGCCGTCAACAGCCAGATCTGGCCGTATTTGCTCTCACGATGGCCAACAACAGTCGTCGTTGATGGTCACGATGACCGTTTGTTGGCCGTCGTGACCAACTGTATGCCAAAGATCTAGCCGTCAACGGCCAGATCTTTGGCCTTAGATCTGGCCTTTTCCGCTAATCCACCTGGATCTGGCCGGAAAAGGCTAGATCGGTGCACTACCGGCCGGATTCAGTCGGTAGTGCGCCATCCTACCAATTCCGGCATTTTCGGCGGTGGTGGCCGAATCTGGTAAATGTGGATTGTTGGGGTATTTTTATAATTTTAAAAAAATATTTAGGGGTATTAATTAAATTAACAAATTTAGAGGGTTTAAAAAAATTAAATAATATTGAAAATAGTATTCCCAAAAATGAGGTCGTTTGGTTCAAAATTTGAGGGTTTTGGGAAAAGTTTTTTGAAAAAAGTTAAAAAAAAGTTGAATTGGGCGGGTATTACGATGTAGGATTTATAAATTAATAAAATACCCTATATATTTATTTTTTTACAAAATACCCCCTATAATAAAACATTAAAAGTTAACAAAAATACCCCTAACCCACCCTCAAACACCCCCAGTCGGCCACCACCACCACCGGAGGTGGCCGAAGTCACCTTATGGGCGCATGACCAGCTGGATCTTGCCGGTCATGCGCCGATATGGCCTTTTTCGGCTAGATCCATGGTAGATCTGGCCGACAAAGGCCAGATCTACGGCCAGATCTGGCCGTCAACTGTCAGATCTGGCCGTATTTGCTCTCAACGACGGCCAACAAACGGTCGTCGTTGATGGTCAAAGACGACCGTTTGTTGGCCATCGTGACCGACTGTTACGGCCAAAGATCTGGCCGTCAACAGCCAGATCTTTGGACTTAGATCTGGCCTTTTCCGGCCAGATCCACCGTAGATCTGGTCGGAAAAGGCTAGATCGACGCACTACTAGCCAGATTCAACTGGTAGTGCGCCATCCTACCAGATTCCGGCCATTTTCCGGTGGTGGTGGCTGGAATCTGGTAAATGTGGATTATTGGGGTGTTTTTGTAATTTTAAAAAAAATATTTAGGGGTATTTAATTAAATTATCAAATTTAAGGGGTTTAAAAAAAGTTGAATAATATTGGGAGTAGTATTCTAAAAAATCTGAGTTTTTGGGTATTTTACTGTTTAACTTTTTTGGGAATACTAAAAGTAGTATTTCCAAAACTGAAACAAACGCAGCCGAGAGTTTTTGGGTATTTTACTGTTTAACTTTTTTGGGAATACTAAGAGTAGTATTTCTAATCTTGAACCAAACGAAGCCGACATGATTTACATTATTATCTGGTACATCACTTGTAGAAAATATTCTCTCATGTTTCAATTTTTCTCTCCTCTGACATTATCAGTAGAAAATGTTCATTCTGAGGGGAGACTCTTTGAATGACTTGTTTTTCTTTGTATTATGTAAAATTTAATTGATATTATACAGTAAATATAATCGTTTTTTATTTAAAGATTGATGTAAAATTTAAATTATTACTTATGGAAAAGACATTTGATATGTGCTTTATTTTAAAATTTTCTAAATCTTGTGAACATGTCAAAGATGTTTGGTTGAAGCCCAAACATCTTTGACATGACAAAGTCTGCATTGA